CTGTCTCTCTGTCTCTCTGTCTCTGTCTCTGTCTCTCTCTCTCTCTCTCTCTCTCTCTCTCACACACACACACACACACACACACAAGTGAATGGCAGTAGAGCTAAGAGTCTGTGCCCTTTCTCCTCTTGTATTTCTAATATGTCCATAGGAAAGTTCCTGACAAATGCAATTTAAAACATTTATCTGGAGATTTAACCAACAGTCTTTTTAAAAGCATAACATTTCTCATATTGGGGACTATCATAGAAAAATACTAGACATATGGTCACCATATGAAAGGCTATGTGTGTTTAGGTGGGGCAGGAAAGCTGTCTGAAGAGGTCCCTCCCAGTGTTTCCTTGGGCTTTGTGGCTTTCCTCCCCACAGCTTTGGGGCAGGGCTGCATCACCAGGGCAAGGCTCTCTGCCTGCCCAGCCCAGCCATCATCCCCATGACTAGCTCCTACAGATTAAATAAAAGACAGGAGAGAAAGATAACTTTCCTCCCCCTGCCTGTTCAACACTTCCTAAAAATCAGGTGCATGGAGAGAACAGAAAAGGGAGAATGGAAAAGCACTGGCTAGTCTCGGAGCAGCGGGCCCTGCCTCCATCTTCTCACAGGCTGACACTCAGGGAGACACAGAACCCAGGAGATCGGAAGGACTCAAGACCAGGAAGACTTCTGTCCCCAGACAGCTCCCACAGAGGAAGTGCTGAGGGAATGACCTGGTAGGAGCTGCGCTGTCAGAAGGAAACATTCAACCGCCCAGGAGTTTCCTGTTTGTTTTAGCAGGTGGTCAAGCCCCAGAACTGCCTACAAGAGGCAGAGAAATAACCAAGAAACCCTCCACCTGAAAGCACTAGAGGGTGAGAAGGACAGCAGGTTCCTGAATCTGAGGCGCCCACTCCAGGTGAGGTGGAGAAGTTTACTAGGATGCTTCTGCAGACAGGTCATTCTGGCATCGAAGCCTGGGCCCACTGCACCCCATAAACACCACAACCTTGGAGAAATAATTTCTCCAATCTTAAATTCTCCTGAATTGACAGGCGGTTTCTGGTTCCGTCGCCCTCTTTCTCTTCAACGAGGCGGCTGAGCGGCAGACGCAGACATGCAGAAGACCCTGACAGGCAAGACCATCACCCTCGAGGTTGAGCCCAGTGACACCACTGAGAATGTCAAAGCCAAAATCCAAGATAAGGAGGGCATCCCCCCCCTGACCAGCAGCATCTGATATTTGCCGGCAAACAACTGGAGGATGGTCGGACCCTCTTTGACTACAACATCCAAAAGTAGTCCATCCTGCACCTGGTGCTTCGCCTGCGAGGTGGGATCATCGAGCCATCCCTGCGCCAGCTTGCCCAGAAGTACAACTGTGACAAGATGATCTGCCGCAAGTGTTATGCCCGCCTGCACCCCCGTGCCGTCAACTGCCGCAAGAAGAAGTGTGGCCACACCAACAACCTGCGCCCCAAGAAGAAGGTCAAATAAAGCTCAGCCAGCCCCTCGTCCAGAAGGGCACCACCTGCCCAACACCTGCAGCCTTGAGGCCTGAATAAAGTTTCCTTCCCTTGACTAGAGAAAAAAAAAAATTCTCCTGAATTAAGATGAAGATTCCAGCAGTCCAACTAAAAGTCAAAACAAAACATTCATTTCCTAAAGAAAATGAAGGGAAGCCACATTTCTTGTGCACAGGCATTTATGAACCAAGATTCATCCATCTAAAACCAGATGTATAGATTTTCCAAAAATAGCTTTTAAATAAACTGGAACATTTTTAGAAAATGAAAGACAGGTGATCACTGTACTACAACCCTGAGCCTTTAGGTGGCTTTTAAAAGGAAAAAAGTTTTTTCCAGCCCCACTCCCTTAAAAAAAATAAAAATAAAATAAAATAAATCAACCAACAAACAAACCAGCAGAAAGGGGGTCATTGTGATACCAGCAGTCATTTTCCAAACATTTCACTAAAAAACCATTTCTCTTGAATTTAGTCATTCATTCATCTCTGGCAAATATGGAAAAACTGGAAGAATGAGCAATGAAGAGAGAAGTTACCAGAACTGGGGCTGGGGTGGAAAATGTTCCTCAGTGTTGGAGCTGTTGCCACTTTGTTGGTGTAATGGGTCATGAACATGGTGTGTTTTGGTGCCTGCTGCTAAGGGGAGCCCAGACACTGGGGAGCTTGGTGTCCCCCGCCTAAACATCTGGAACAGCTGCCTCACAACGACTCCTCTGAAAGGGATCCTGGAGAGTCCTGGCCGCCTCTCTCTGTCCCCTTGACAATTTCCACGGTGGAGTCGTGAGTCCTGCTCCATCTGAGGCCTCCTCCCTGCTACGGCCTGTAGCCACAGGCTCGGAAAATGCTCTTGCTGCGGAGCAGGAGGCTGCTGCTACCTGCTCACTGTCTTGGCAGCTTGGAAAGAAGATAGCAGCTTTGGCTGCAGAAGGACAGATCCTTTCTAAACCATCTGGACCCTAAAATGTTTCATGTCCCCAAGGGGAACGGGGGCCTTGCCTTACCCTCAGGTAGAAGGGATCTGGTCAGACAGACTCCTGCTACATTACTGCCATCTCTGTTTGCCCCTTTCTAGGGTCTCTCACTTTCAAGCACCCCATAAACACACACACACACACACACACACACACACACACACACAGAGATGGGCATAGATGTTGAGGTTCCTGACTCCCTAGAGGGTGCCCTAGGAGCTCCAGAGCTAGCTTTGCTCTTTAAGCCTTGCCTTGAGGAATGTTCTCTGCCCCTGTGAGGCAGGGAACCAAGGCTGGAAGGCCGGCTGCTGGAGCAGAAGGGTGACCATCCATCCCAGCCTCGGGCTTTCTTATCAAGTTCAGGCATATTTCTGAAAGTACTAGAACGTAGAACTAGAAAGTAGTAGTAGAACTAGAACGAGAACTAGAAAGTACAGAACCTTGGGCCATGGCATTCACCTCTGCCTTGTACTTCCGAGTCCCCATTCTCTTATCTTCAGAGAAAGGAAACAGAGAAGAGGGTCAGTGCAGAGAGAACAGAGTTAACCAAGAAATGAAGGTCTAACTAGCAAGGTCTAGCACTTGCCAGCATTCCCTATGTGCCAGGCCCTGGGTGTGGTTTGTTTGACTTAATTCACAGCAACCGTGCCAGGAAGGACACAGTAAGTCCCATCTTTCGGAGGTAAAGCCAAGGCCAGTGAGGCTCTGGCTCCATCACACACTCCTCTAGGGCTGCACAGGTGTGAGGTGGCAGGTTGGGGTTTAAGTGCAGATCCCTACTCCAAAGACCCCAGAGAGAAGTCCTGTACTCCCTGCTCCCTAGGAAGAGTGCAGAGATACATCACGTGTGCGAAGCTGGGAGGTGACTGGACCAGCACAGGAAAAGAGAGGAAGTGGAAGTCGATTGTGAAAGTGGGGAAGGTTGGAAATTACTGTGGAAATGATGATGCTGTTCCCATGTTTAGTAAACTCACATGTGGAGGTCACGGTTGCACATGGCTGGTGGAAAGGGGAAGTTGGAGTGAGTGAGTTGGAATGTTGGGGCTGTACCAACTTCCTCTAACTGTTGGAAGAGGGAGCACCCCTCACCTTGTCCCGCCCCAACTCAAAGCCTAGACTCTCTCATGCCCAAACCCTTTTTGAAGCTTATTCCTTACCCTGTCCAACCCCACCAAACTCCACACAAAACCCCACCAGCTTGCAGAGAAATGGCAGGCTGAGACATAGCCCGGGATGACAGCTGCAAGGGAAAATGCTGTGGCCACTGTCTCTGTAGAAGTCAGTGGAAGGAAAGATAAGAGCAGGAGTGGGGCTGAGCTATGCTCCGGGGAGAAAGCTGAGCTCTTAGTCCAGCCTGCCTGAGGATGCTTATCCTGAGGCCTCCCCAAGAGGTCATAGGGTTCTGAGGGGTTTGATGACTCAGGGCAGGGGCTGTAGAAATTCTGGTTAAAGGCTGAGTGAGGTAAGCTGCTGCTTAGGAGACAGGCCTGGTGTTAAGCAGGGCTGACCTCTCTAACTGCCTCTTCAAAGAACCTGCCCACAAGATGCCCAAATGGCAGGAGGTCAGAGGGAGGCCTATCCTCTCTGAGGCAGGGGTTACAGTGGAAAAAGCAAGAGCAGGAATCGAGAAAGTAAACTGCCCCTACTCACTGCAGAGAGATTAGGGTGCACCTTGTCCTATTCTGCTCGGGCCACCACAGCAGAACACCCTACACTGGTGGCGGGGGGCGGGGGGAGGTGTCACTCTCTTTCTGCTTCATTGTCACCCCTCCTCCTCTCTGAGGCTGACTGCTTTGCCTTCCTTCCTTTTTTTTCTTTTTTCTTTTTTCTTTCTTTTTTTTTTTTTTTTTTTTTGGCAGAACCAGGGATTGAATTTAGGCCCTTGTGCTTGTCAGGGAAGCGCTTATTCCACTGAGCCGTCTCCCCGGCCCCTTGCCTTCCTCTCTTAAAAGCTCTGTACTTATACCGGGCCACCTGGACAACCCAGGATCATCTCTCCAACTCAGAAGCCTGGCCTCATCACATCTGTAAAGTGCCTTTTGCCATGTGAAGCAACATGTTTATGGGTTGTGAGGACCATGACATGGGTAGGTTGGGGGCAGCTATTGTTGGACCTAGTATTGACTGAGCCAAAACTGAGCCAGAACTAGAACACAGGCTCCTGGCTCCCTGCTCATGACAAGGGTCTGTATTATTTATTGTCTCCAAAGCATAGCGTACCTGACTAGCCCCCAACTTAGGGCCTTAAAATCGTAAGTTCTATTTTGATCACAGCCCTGCAGGCTGCTGTGTGTTCTCTTTATCTCCTCAGGCCTTGCTTACGTACTGGGGATCAGCAGACTTCAGCTGGGGTCGTAGGCAAGGCAGCTCCTCCCCGCAACTGATCTCTCCCCTGGAGCCCAGATGCATTTCAGGGTGACGGCAGAGGTGCGAGAGCCCAAGGAGAACTGCGAAAGCCTCTGTCTGAGTCACCCCTGCAAGTCCTGTGGCTGGGGCCAGGGTCAGGGTGGGATAAGGACAAGGACTTGGGAGGGATGAACAATCGGGAACTTACGTTGTTTTCCTCTTTATCTCAGATGCCCTGTGATATGACTGTTCAGTTCCAGGTGACATTAGATATTAAGCTCACCAAAGAGCATGTAATGTGGGCTCAATAGTATCAGAGACCCAGGCATGGTGACACGTGCCTGGAATCCCAGCACTCAGGAAGCTGAGACAGGAAGATCATGCCACTTGGAGACCAGCTTGGGCTACTCAGTGAGTTCAAGGCTAGGCTACATTGTAAGAACCAAACTCGTAGTAGGAACCTATCTCAAAAAAAAAAAAAAAAAAAAAAAAAAGTCAAAGACCCTGTGACCGCCCCATCAACTTACCTTATCATCCATCTGCTCTTGTTAGATGTGGCTGACACCCCTGCCACTGAGAGGCAGGGTATATATTCCTCCTCCTTTTAGTAAGTGGGGCCTGGGTTATTCCAGTCAACAGAAAACAGAAGTTGCAATATGTGGCTTTTGAAGTTTAGGTCATAAAACTAAGGTTTAGCTCTGTCTGTCTTTGTGGAATCCAGCCATCATGTTGTAAGGAAGCCAACACCCTGTGGAGAGGCTCCCATGATGAGGAGCTGAGGACCCAGGCAAATAGCCTGGTGGATTAAAGCGCCTGCAAGCAGGTGCAGGGGCCGGGGGGGTTTGATCCCCAGGCCTGCCATGCCAGGCCCGCCCCTGGGTCGCCCCTGGGTGATTGAGACAAGGGTGTGGTGGCCTGTAATCCCAGCTCTTGGGAGGCTGTAAACAGGTGGATCACTACAAATCTGATCTAGGAGAGAGACCTTGAACACCCTGTAGACCCTTTCCTAAAAAAAAAAAAAAAAAAAAAAAAAAAAAAAAAGAAAGAAAAAAAAGAAGGAGAAGGAGAAGGAGAAGGAGAAGGAGAAGGAGAAGGAGGAGAAGAGGAGCTGAGGCTTTCCCCATAGCCAGCCTGCTTGCCAGCCTGTGGTTAGGCAACCTTGGAGTTGGATTCTCCAGCCCTGCTCCAGGCCCAAGACACTGCAATCCTGGTCGGCATTTTGACTGAGTGCAACTTACAAGTGAGCTTGACCCAGACCTACCAAGCTGTGCTGCCCTAGATTCCTGATTTGCAGAAACAATGAGATAACAAATGATTGCTTTTATTTATTTTTTGTTTTTATTTATTTTTATTATTTTTAATTTTTTATTGTTGTTGTTTTTATTTATTTGATACAGGATCTTGCTATGCAGTTCAGACTCATAGTAATCCTCCTGTCTCAGCCTCCCCGCAGCATAGCATGTGGTACTGGGGGATTGAACCTGGGTCCTTGCACTTGCCAGGCAGGTGCTTAGACCACCAAGCTATCTTCCCAGCCAATTTTTCTTTTAAGTTTTCTACACATGAGGTGATTTGTTAGGCAGCATCAGCCAACTAATATAAACCTACTGGTGTGGCTGAGGACAAAATGGAAACAGAAGCAGTCTAGCACCTTAAGGAACCTACAGTTTCTAGGTGACTTATGGACATTATTAGGATCAACAGCAAAATA